AAAGGAGATCGAAACAAACAAGGATTTCACGTACACTGTTGATTTAGTTTACTTTATGTTTTGTCAGCTGTGAATGATATACAAATCTGTTTCAAAGCTCACTGTATCCTTAGTACAGCATCTTGCTTAACTCTTCACAATATTGTTAGGAAACCATCCGCACACGTGTACTCTATCATCTCATGGTTTAATTTAAAGTAAGCAAGTTTTATCAAAAGCATACTTTACAAAATATATTAGTATGGCAAATTTTAAGAGAGTTTTATATCTTGTCCAAAGGGTGCCCTCAGAAAGAAATTTAATTAAGTGGAGTTAATGGCACCCAATATAGCTGAATTTTTCCCATCAAATTCCGCCGGTGGATAACGTCAAAAACTTTGTCTGCTGAACAAATATCAATATTTGGACTCTGAATCCAGATAGAGTCAAAACCCAATTTCTTGAACGTTCAATGTCATTTAATAATTGCTCACAATTCATAAAACTTTTAATAAAAGCGCAAGATTCTATTACTTTCAAGCAGCTAACAAAATAAGGTCATCCTAAACTCATTTCCGAATTGTTATTAACCTTCCAATGAGGAGTCTCAAGTTTCAAGAGCACAACCTCAGCGAAAAATAGCTTGTCAGTTGACAGTTTCTACGAAACGGTTCCTGAATTCTCGGAAAACAGGACGCGACAAATTCGAAATTTTTTTGGAAAATATAAAGTAATCGCTGATTTAATCGGCTGTATTCTTGTTTAAGCTCTCTTTCTATTATAGCATAATATTTTGCCACAAGCTAATGTTTGCCTCATTTTCTTTCTGCTTAGCAATTACAGCTTAAATTGTTGTGAACTTTAGTAAACAATTTTTCGACAAACGTCCTTCCGGGGTAGAAACCGGAAAATCATTATGCACTGATGACTTACAAGGCATAGCTGGCAGGTTTTGATTGGTTAAACGGAGGTTAAATCGCGAATGAACCAATTAGAAGTATTCCTAAAGAATACGTCAACTTGTCATGAGATTAGCTGCTTTCTCGCTCATGATTCCGAGAAATGGCAACGCAAATTTGAGTATATTCAGCGACTTCCAAACCAAGTAACTCCTAGTGATCTTCAAGGAATATAAAGGTAAGCAACAGTCCGTCCATTAGAAGGTAGTTCAAACGTTTTTTTGTCGAGACTACTTACACCAATTATAAGTGCACTAGCTCTAAAAGTAACTTACAACCGGCCGGGAATGTATGTTGTCGTTTGATTGGGTGGTGGCGCTGGGCCATTCTTATTTTTCTACATAACTTTGGTATCATTAGAGATGCAGGTAATAGCTAACAATTTGGGCAACGTTAATTCAGAATAGCAGCAAGCAAAAAAAATTGAATCTATACGTCTTTTAGAGAAAGAAAGCAAGAGAGCTCGAAGGCCTCTTCGCTTTCTAACGCTAAAATAGGAATTTTAGTGCCTGTGACATCGGTCTACGAATGATAACCATGAATGCATCTCAAAAAGAAACGATTTATTTCGCCAAAAAATCGCATCTTTTTATTTATCGCTTTAAACTTCTAGTACCCTACGAGTTGCTGAGTAAAATATCGGAATTGCGTTACGAGTTATTCCCGGAAATTTGGCCGAGCGTAACGTCATTTCTAGGAATTCACTTTTGATTCTCTCTCCTGATTAATTCGATCAATATGTTGTGTAAATGCTCTCTATTTTTATTTAAATAAAATATGAAAGTGTGTTCTTATTAGAAGTGGCATACTATGAGTCACAGTAACTGATAACGCGGTGTTGAGAAACTTAAAAACCGTCTCTTAAGCGTATTTACATCTTACTGCTGCATTCTCCTTCTCTTNCTAACCATGTACCATCATATACTTAACAATTATTCCACGAGTGCGCGTTGGATATGAGATGATAGATAGCCAACGAGGCGCGTAGCGCCTCGTTGGCTAGAATCATCTCGTATCCAACAAGCGCGAGTGGAATGATTGTTTTATTAAAAAAAACGCCCCCAAGATATTAGACAAATCTTCTCGACTTTATTTTGTAAGAAGAAACCGGATGTTACAATGTACAGATATTAGATTATGGTATGTTGGCTCATATACCATAATGGCTAAGCCAATAAAAATTCTTGAATTGCATTATCCAATGATCCAGTTTTAAATAATAATGCTTAGCTCGACATAAAAAAAAAAATCAAAAGGATCGGCCTTCGCAGCTCCCTCGGAGATTCCAAACTTCTTCACTCAAATGCATTCTCGGAGAATCTCCACTTAACAGACTCTGAGGCACATGAGGTATTTTAAATAAGTTTAGAATTTTTCATCATTTCTAACAATGTAACATGTTTGGGATAGCCCCAAGAAACAATTAGACGACCCTTAAGAAAAAAACAGAAATTAAAAACTTTACCCAGATAACTTCGAAAACAGGATACTCGTTCCAGAAAAAGATATTATGCGATTCCCCTTTATTTCATAGATAGTGGTATATTTACCTTTTTTCCGATAAAAAATGGACTCATAACTACGTTTTCTTAGTAAAGAAGAACCCATTTCCCCAATTCCCCTGTCAAATGGAACGTTCAACTGCTTTGAAGCAGCTAACAATAAGATCAAGCTAAAAATGTGTTATAAATTTCTGTAATCTTCCTCCAAGGAGTTTCCAATTTAAAAAGCACAGTATGAGCCAAAAATATATTGTTGACATTTTCTGCGAATCGTTTCCTGAATTTTCGGAAAACAGGAAAAGACATTACTTCATCCTTCAGTTTCCTCATATAAAAGCTATCCCATATTCCGTTCATTCCTTCAAGCATTTCACCAACTAAAGTTCGCTCTCCTCTCCACAGGAGCGGCATCTTGACGTCATTGCGTGTGCTTTGCGCGTCATTGTTATTGTTATTATCTGAGAACTCGATACTTTTTCTCACAAACCGAACGGAAAGAGATACACAACGACGGTGGCTTTTGCCAATATTTTCACGGCAAAAATAGAAATAGGATATTATCAATCAGTGCACAACTAAATCGCTTTTTTGGAAAAGGTATATTGACGATGTTTTCTGTCAGTGGAACAGAACCAAAGACAAAAGAGAAGTTGTAAGACTGGCAAACAACTACATTGTACCATGGTACAATTACTATCCACGGCTAAATATCAAATTCAAAATTTGTTTTCTTGGACACAAAAATATACGAAAGCGACAAGTTTAACAGGAAATAAACCTTTTTTCGATGAATTCGCGAACGTGGAACGAAAAAACAAAAATACGTAGAAAATAGATATTAAACTTGAAGAAACTAGATGTGGGTATAAAAAGCCAATTTTCAATCAAGATTGCAAATATTTAGCCGAATAATATTACACACACGGAGAAATACTGAGAAAGGCCACCACCCCCGCAGTGAATCTTGGCAGAGCGTGGGTCCTTTAAATGACATCTAACTTTCAATCGGGATAGATTAAGATCGATTTAATAATTTGAACTGACAGAGAGAAAGAGTCAGTCTTTATATTGTTGTTGTTTATGTCCTGAGAAGATACAATTTCTAAGAAATGAAGGAAGCTTATACTTGACTTCTGCAATCTCAGTCTTCACGTCATTTCAATCGAGTCGATAAGTCCAGACGGTCTAATGTTTACACCGTCGTCCTTGATTACTGACAGATGCCGTGGGCATTTTGTGCTATTATTCTGTATTGATTTCTTGATGTTCTATATCTCTTTGCTCAAAATGCATTGGCGAAGTGAAAGGAGAGCGAAACTGTTTTTTGTTTTTTGTCTTTATGGGCGGAACTGATCGTTTACGTTCGTCACTCGCACGACTTTTGATTAGAACACTTACTCGAAACTGTTGATTATTATGTGGCATTCCGGTGCAGTGAATTAAGAATTCCGACATACTTAACATATTATCACAATGATAAAGAGTTGTTATTGCGCGGGCTGCTTGAGGATATTCGAGATTTGATCATTTATACAAGCGAAAAGATGCAGAACTTGATACAACGATCGCATTATCATAATAATTTTTGGCTACGAAAGCCGTTGTTCGCTGAATTTTTCACAAAAGGCTATGACATTTAGTGCCTGTAATATGAATTGCAAGCTATCCTTTTTATTAAATGCGAGTTCATCCAGTGAAACATGATCAATGACTGGGCCTCTCCACACCCTCCTTTGACCCATTAATAACGCTTTTGCTTCAGTTCAGCCCTACCCCTTCCCACTCGAAATTCGCTTTGCTTGTCTACCGGAATGATTTAAACACCTAGACCATCTTCATGTTTAGTCGGCTTGATCTCCCCAAGATTCGTTTAACCATTCATTAGGTTTTTCTTTCTCTCGTTTGGACGCTTTAGTCATCTTCTTCTGAAAGTTTATAGATTCTTATCGATAAATTTGTACCTTCTCCAGTTTATTCATAAATCATCCTGCCCTTTCAAGTATCGAAGCATTAACCATTGAAAGCAGTTGCTCCTAACGCAGTTGTTTCTAAGTCTGGGCACAAAATATGATAAAATTATATAACTTGTGTGAGGACACTGGGAATATTCCCTGAGATCAAACGCCAGGCTTCACGTACTTTCACTTTAGTAGCTCGAATTTTTTATGCAATGGATACACCCGTTCTTATTTTTGTCCTGTTCTACGGTGAAAGATCGTCGTACATTTCGCGAGTTTCGTTGTACCTGTTGTTCTCTTCCTCTAGTTAAAATTGATTCTGTGAATTTTTCTTACTTATTACACGACTCGGGCAGTCAGAGGGCCAATAACTAAAATCAACCAATCGAAATGCTCTATTGCCGGTCCAATATTGTCTAAGTATTGGACCGGGCACTGTCCCGAATGGTCCCGAATGATACCGCAATTGTGTCCCTTTGAACTTCAGTCGTATAATAAATCTCTTATTAACAAGCTTGCTCGGGACTGTACTGGAATCGGCCGTACTGGAAGAATATCGGCCCTCGGGCCGATATTCTCCCAGTACGGCGCTCGCGCTTGGTTAATAAGATATATTTATTGACAATTAGAAGGGTATACATATGTTAAACACTCAGCCAAATATTAATAAATTCTGCCGAATGAAGTGTTTTATACAACTTTTTAGATAACAATGGTGCGATCGTATCGAGCTGCCATGTTTGTTTTGCTTGTTGACATTTTAAAGCTCGCACTTTATTGGCATCCAGATCTCTCACCTTCGAAACCCAAAATCTACCAAAAATTTAACAAGCCCTTAAGTAGTCGCAAAGCTCGCCTGTCGTTTCTGATTTGTTGTGCAGCACAACTGTCTGCTCTGGAAATAAGGTAAACGTGGAAACGCAACTTTGGAAATATGTCAAGTAATCCACCCCCACTTCAAAATATGCGTCAAGGGTCTGACAGTATTTCTGATGGATCTCCATAAGATGAAGAAAGAAAGGCGGCTGCAGGCCATCTACTCCACTTAGCTGACAGGTTGCTCAAAAAATCAGTGAAAATATCAGACGCCCCCCCATTAGTTTATCAGCTTTCAGCAGAACTGAAATTGATGCGAGATAGGCCTAAGATTATTAAGAAAAGCATCGGCAGCCCTAGCGATGTCGGTCGTGGAGGAACTGAGAAAGTGCTCATGGTTGTTGGCGCAAAGGGAGTCGGAAAGACAACGCTTACCAACGCAATGGTCAACTACATCCTGGGCGTAGAGTGGGCAGATGAGTTCCGTTACAAACTCGTCGTAGAAGATTGTAAGGCATCACAAGCTCACAATCAAACAAAGGAAATCACTGCCTACACGTTCCACCCGTTGAAGGGCTCCGCTAGCGCTGTTCCTTACACGTTCACCATTATTGACACACCAGGCTTTGGAGACACAAAGGGAATTAAAAAAGACAAAGAAACCACAGACCTGATAAAGGAGTTTTTTTCAATTCCTCTTCCAAATGGTATCGATCACCTCGACAGCATTAATTGGTTTTGTCACTCAAGCTTCCTTGGCCCGCCTGACTCTAACACAAGAGTATATCTTCGACTCCATCCTGTCCATGTTTGGAAAAGATTTGGCTAAAAATATTTTTGTACTGTTTACGTTTGCCGACGGTCAAGCTCCCCCAGTGATGGAAGCCATAAAGAAAGCCAAT